GGCGGAGTTTTCGCTCTTGTTACCCAGGCTGGAGTGCAATGGCGTGATCTTGGCTCTCCTCCGCCTCCTGGGTTCAGGCAATTCTCCTGCCTCAGCCTCCTGAGTGGCTGGGATTACAGGCACGTGCCACCATGCCCAGCTAATTTTTGTATTTTTTTTTTTTTTGAGACGGAGTTTCGCTCTTGTTACCCAGGCTGGAGTGCAATGGCGCGATCTCAGCTCACCGCAACCTCCGCCTCCTGGGCTCAGGCAATTCTCCTGCCTCAGCCTCCTGAGTAGCTGGGATTACAGGCACGCGCCACCATGCCCAGCTAGTTTTTTGTGTTTTTAGTAGAGACGGGGTTTCACCATGTTGACCAGGATGGTCTTGATCTCTCGACCTCGTGATCCACCCGCCTCAGCCTCCCAAAGTGCTGGGATTACAGGCTTGAGCCACCGCGCCCGGCCAATTTTTGTATTTTTAAGAGAGATGGGGTTTCACCATGTTGACCAGGATGGTCTCGATCTCGTGATCCACCCACCTCGGCCTCCCAAAGTGCTGGGATTACAGGCTTGAGCCACCGCGCCCAGCCTGGAATGCTCTACTTTTTAAAGACAGTCAATAAGAGATCTATTTCCTTGACTTTTTTTGTCAGATCTACCATTATGTGTCATCATATTTTCAGCCGTTTTCTGGATGGGCATGTGTGTGTTAGGAGGGATTAACATACACAAAAATGAGTAGAATGCAGTCCCTGGCTGGGTGCAGTGGCTTACGCCTGTAATCCTAGCACTTTGGGAGGCCAAGGTGGGTGGATCACCTGAGGTCAGGAGTTCAAGACTAGCCTGGCCATCATGGTGAAACCCCATCTTTATTAAAAAAAAAAAGAAAAAAAGAAAGAAAAGAAAGAATGCAGTCCCTGCCTTCTAAAGTCATATACTCAGTCCAGTCCTATTTGTACCTTGCATTTGCGAAGTTTTAAGTCACAGGTGGAATCTTTCTAAGCCAAACTTCTGGGTTGCAGAAGTATACCTTGGTTAACACAGCATAATTCTGGGACTAGAGCTATTTCACTGTTACTGAATTTTAGAATTGAGCAGTGGTGGGAGTACTTAGAAATCAGTTTTCACATAGTTGTAAGGATTTAATGAGAGAAAATAAAAACCTGACACAAATAGTTGAAGTATTCAGTAAATGTCAGTGAAATCTGAATATCATCTGTAATTGGTGAAAAAGAGACCCAGTCAAATGAAATGACTTGCCTAGAGGTATGCATGTAGTTAGTCATCAAGTCTGGCTTAGACTTCAGTCCTCATTATTCCTAGCTTATATTCTTCATTCACATCTTCTGCCTCAAAGACATTGCCATAAATGTAAAAGGGAGGCTAACTCAATCAATAATTAATTATGTATTGCCTGGGTACCTGGCACTCTGCTGAACTCTGGTAAGTTTAGAGGAGTATTCCCATAGGTCCCAGGGAGCTGGGGAAGGGAGCAGGTTAGAGCCAGGACATCAGCCTATCTGGAGCAGACAGCTATTAAGTTAGGGAGGTATCAGATAAGTAGGGTGGGGCTAAGTGGAACACTGGGAAATCTAGGCCTGCCCTGTGTGACTACATTCTTTTTCCTGTAAGAGTCAGCCTTTGAGAGAATGTAATGTGGCACATTCCTTTGGTGTAGCCCTGGGTTTGAATTCTGACTATAATGACACTCTTCTCAAAACCTGTCAGTGATTTCCCATTTCATTAAAATTCAAAGTCCTAATAATTGTTTACAAGGCCCTATATAATCTGGGTCCCTACTACCTCCTTGTCCACTTCTCTACCCTCTCTTGCTCACTCTGCTTTAGCCATCCTGGCCCAAGCAGTCTTGCTTTGGGAACCTTGTACTGATTACCCTCTTCTCCTAGAATACTTCTCCCCCAGATAGCTGTGTGGCTTGGTCTTTCACTTCCTTTGGATCTCTGCCCAGTGTCACCTTATCAGAGAGGTCCCTCTGACCACTCTATATTACTAGTATTCTCTGCCCACCACTGTCACTTCAGCCCTTACCTGAATTTATTTCTCTTTATACCACTTATCACTTATGTTTATTATCTGTTTCTTTTCCTTAGAAGACTCTTGAAAGCAAGTGTATTCTAGGACACTTAGTGTCCTAGTGTAGAGTAGGTACTCAGAATGAATGAATGAATGAATGAATGAGTGAGTTCTGTAACTCTCATGAGCCTCAATGTACTCATATGCAACAATGGAATAATAATACTTACTAAAAGGGTTGTTGGAGTCAAATAAGTTAATGCTTGTCAAGTCCAGTGTCTAGTACATAGTAAATGTTCAGTAAATGAGAATTCATGCCCTCTTTCATAAATTATTTTTATGACTGTTCAGTTAATAGCTTTAGTGGTATCCTGATTCCCATTTGACTTAGATAAGAAGGACATACCACATGGTAGTGATGAAGACAAGTAGTTGTCATACATAATGCTATCTTAGCAGAATGCAGAAATTATAGTGCTTTATGTTTTTCTGTGGAACCACTGAGCTATAGGTAACCCTCGCTTAGTAGAATAGACACCTTTTAGGGGAAGTCTTGTCAAAAGGCAAATTTTGAATTAAGTGAATCCTGTATTTCTGTTATAAAACTGGAATCACATTTTTGTTAGGAAAACATAGTCTCAAAATAAGATGAAATCGTAATCTGAAGTGCTACCAACCTATATATACTTGACTCTGGAAATGTTTGCTTTGTAACTCCAACAAATGCAGTAATTTTGGTTAGGGAGAAAGAATGTCCTACTAAGGATTGAGTTGTTCCATTTCTGTTTAGGAATAGAAGCACCCAGCAATCAATTAGAAGATTTTTGCCTAATCATTGCTTCTTATCAGATTTAGGGACTACTAGCATGTCATTGTTATTGAAAGGTAACTGATACTCAATAAATTTTAGCTTACTTTTTTACTAATCTTGGTGACCAAATTAGGGACAAGATTATGACTTTGTTCCCCAAATACTGTTATTTTAAGAGTACCATTACCAGCCAGGTGTGGTGGCTCACACCTGTAATCCCAGTACTTTGGGAGGCCAAGGCAGGTGGATCACCTGAGGTCGGGAGTTCGAGACCAGCCTGACCAACATGGAGAAACCCTGTCTTTACTAAAAATTCAAAAAATTGGCCAGGCGTGGTGATGCATGGCTGTAATCCCGGCTACTTGGGAGGCTGAGGCAGGAGAATCACTTGGACCTGGGAGGTGGAGGTTGCATTGAGCTGAGATTGTACCACTGCACCCAGCCTGGGCAACAGAGTGAGACTCCGTCTCAAAAAAAAAAAAAAAAAAAAAAAAAAAGAGTACCATTACCAAAAAGTGAATTTGGAACAATTAACTTTTAAATTTCAAAATTCTAATAAGTGAGGATTCATTCTTATTGGACATGGGAGCATTATATGTGTATTGCCCCTATAATATTCGCAAATTACACAATATATGTCAGTTTCCTCATTTTCTTCCACTGAGCCAGTCATTTAGCAGGATGATGTTTCACAAGTGAAACTGGCATTAATCTAGAGAGGATAGAAAGGGCTGTCACAAAGAAGGTTGAATTTGGCTGGAAGAGCCATATACTTATTGTGTTATGTTATTTCTTGAAGTTCTATTGAAACTTGATAATAAGTGTGTTTCCTCTGGGCAATGAGTACTCTATTCATATGTTCTGTATTCCATCTACTTGTAATAGAAGACAATGAATGCTCTTGGAAAGCAAGCGAACAAGAAATCATGCAACTAACTTCCAACATCTATGAATGAAGAAATCTCCCCCACCCTCCCCAGTAACCAGAAAAAGAAAATAGAAAGCAAGACATAAAAGAAATGAAGGGCTCTATTCTTGTTGCAGAAATCAGTAAGGGACAGAAGTGTTTAGAGTCCCAGGCAGGCTGATGTTAAGAGTATTCCTCCTAGCCGGGCGCGGTGGCTCAAGCCTGTAATCCCAGCACTTTGGGAGGCCGAGGCGGGTGGATCACAAGGTCGAGAGATCGAGACCAACCTGGTCAACATGGTGAAACCCCGTCTCTACTAAAAATACAAAAAAAAAAATTAGCTGGGCATGGTGGCGCGTGCCTGTAATCCCAGCTACTCAGGAGGCTGAGGCAGGAGAATTGCCTGAACCCAGGAGGTGGAGGTTGCGGTGAGCCGAGATCGCGCCATTGCACTCCAGCCTGGGTGACAAGAGCAAAACTCCGTCTCAAAAAAAAAAAAAAAAAAAAAAAAAAAAGAGTATTCCTCCTTATTGATAGATGATCAGTTCCCGTGGACCTCTGCTTTCTTGGTCTAGGATAGGGACTTAAACATCCAGGATTCAAAAATTACCATTCCTAGTCTTAGCAAATATCTAGAAAAAGCTAGAGAGGGCTGCGCAAAACCATATATTCGACTGTAATGTGGTATAGAGAGCACAGTTGAAAGAACATAGCCATTGGAATCTGATGTCCCTGGCCCTGGATTTTTTGCTCTGCTACTTATTAATTTTATATGCTTATATAAAATACTAAACCTCTCTAAATACATTTCCTTACTTGCAAATGAAGGTATATCTGCTTAAGATTGCTGTTGTGAAAATTAGTAAGAGAATATATACAAAGCTCTTAGTATATAGTGCCTGGAACTTAGATAGAAGAATTATTGTATTGTATTTGATTTTTTTAATTGTTGCAAATTGATATCTGGTCTAGAGGCCCTTCTAAAGGTGTTGAAAATTTTAACAATTGCAATGGGAGACCTAGAAAAATTAGCAAATTTTGGGGGGGATGATTAGTAACATAGTTACTCTACAGGAGAAGGGTGAACCTTGTAATTAGTTTTTGGAGGAATGTGTGTGTCAAGGTTTTGATCATAGCATGGTCTCTATTAGTTTGCATGTATTATTATTTATTCTGAGTGTGAAGAGACCAGGGAGCTTAGAAGTAGGGTACTCATGATGAATGTGTTTTTCTTTTAAATAAATCTTTTTCTTCCTATCTCCCCAGCTGCTCAGATAAAGAATTTGATGAGCCAGCTAGGAACTAAGCAGGACTCAACCAAGCTACAGGAAAATCTGTGAGTAACTTCCTGACAAGGTTGGGCTTTGTGAAGGCCATTTGAGGACACAGTATCCTTGCTGCATGGCAGCTTAGGTTTCAGGTCTGGGAAGTCAGAGTGAGAGGCAATGGGTCATAAAGTAATAGTTGGATCTAAAAAGAGGGGCAACAAAGTATATTAATGGATTGTGATCTCCACTGCCTTTTAAAGTCCTTGAACTCTGGTTCTTTCTCCTCTTGGGCAGTTTAGCAGAACAATTCAGGGAAGTAAAGAAGGGAACTTGTACCACTGTTACACTACTCTGCTCACAACTCTGTCTAAATAAGCTTCCTTGTTGGCATAGGACTCCTAATGATCTAATCTAATTGGATTTCCAGCTGCAGTCAGCCTTCCATATCCATTCCTTCTGCACCTGTGGATTCAACCAAGCACAGATAGAAAACATTCAGAAAAAAAGATTTCTACTGAAGATGTACAGACTTTTTTCCTTGTCATTATTACTGAAATACAGTATAATAATGATTTACATAGTATTTACATTGTAAATGTAAGTAATCTAGAGATGATTTAAAACATACAAAAGGGGGGCCCTGCGCAATGACTCACACCTGTAATCCCAGCACTTTGGGAGGCCAAGGCGGGTGGATCACCTGAGGTCAGGAGTTCAAGACCAGCCTGGCCAACACGATGAAACGCTGTCTCTACTAATAATACAAAAATCAGCTGGGAGTGGTGGCGGGCGCCTGTAATCCCAGCTGCTCGGGAGGCTGAGGCAGGAGAATAGCTTGAACCCAGAAGGTGGAGATTGCAGTGAGCAGAGATCGCACCACTGCACTCCAGCCTGGGCATCAAAGTGAGACTCTGTCTCAAAAAAATAAAAATAAAGATAAAAAATAAAGTATATAGGTCGGGCGCAGTGGCTCACGCTTGTAATCCCAGCACTTTGGGAGGCCTAGGTGGGTGGATCTCCTGAGGTCGGGAGTTTGAGACCAACTTGACCAACATGGAGAAACCCCATCTCTACTAAAAATACAAAATTAGCCGGGCATGGTGGCACATGCCTGTAATCCCAGCTACTTGGGAGGCTGAGGCAGGAGAATCGCTTGAACCCAGGAGGCAGAGGTTGTGGTGAGCCAAGATCATGCCATTGCACTCCAGCCTGGGCAACAAGAGTGAAACTTCATCTCAAAAAATAATAATAGCCAGGCGCTGTGGAGCGTGCCTGTAGTCCCAGCTTCTTGGGAGGTTGAGGTGGTAGGATCACTTGAGACCAGGAGTTCTGGGCTGTAGTGCGCTACACTGATCGGGTGTCCACACTAAGTTCGGCATCAATATGGTGACCTCCCGGAAGCAGAGGACCACCAGGTGGCCGAAGGAGGGCTGAACCGGCACAGGTCAGAAACAGAGCAGGTGAAAGCTCCCATGCTGATCAGTAGTGGGATCGCTCCTGTGAATAGCCACTGCACTCCAGCCTGGGCAACATAGCGAGACCCTCTCTCTAAAAACTAAAAATAAATAAATAATAATAATAGGCCGGGCGCGGTGGCTCAAGCCTGTAATCCCAGCACTTTGGGAGGCCGAGGCGGGTGGATCACGAGGTCGAGAGATCGAGACCATCCTGGTCAACATGGTGAAACTCCGTCTCTACTAAAAATACAAAAAAACTAGCTGGGCGTGGTGGCGCGTGCCTGTAATCCCAGCTACTTAGGAGGCTGAGGCAGGAGACTTACCTGAGCCCAGGAGGCGGAGGTTGCCGTGAGCCGAGATCGCGCCATTGCACTCCAACCTGGGTAACAAGAGCGAAACTCCGTCTCAAAAAAAAAAATTTAATAAATAAAATAAAATAAATATATAAATAATAATAATAATTTTAAAAAATAATTATACGGAGGGGTATGCATAGGTTCTATGCAAATGTTACTCAATTTTATATCAAGGACTTGGAGGGAGGAGGCCCTGGAACTAATCCCCCATGAATTCAGAGGGACCACTGCGTATATATTATTAACAAAAGGTATTCAGAATGGCCCAAGGGGAGCCTGAGGGAGAGAATAGTGGACTGATAGTAGGGACTTCTGATTCTTTTTATCACATCCTCTTCTGCTCCATTTCTGCTTTTAGTGCTATTCTTTATCTTTAAAATATACTGAGCAATATTTTTGTTTCCTGTTCTAGGCAGTGTGAGGTGAGAGAATGACTATTATTGTGAGCTTTTTCCAGGGAAATATGAAATATCTCTGGATATTTTAGTACTGCCTGGGATGTTCAAGCCCCTGATTGAGTCTCTCTTGCTTTTGACTCCTTTTTTTTTTTTGAGACAGAGTTTCGCTCTTGTTACCCAGGCTGGAGTGCAATGGCGCGATCTCGGCTCACTGCAACCTCCGCCCCCTGGGTTCAGGCAATTCTTCTGCCTCAGCCTCCTGAGTAGCTGGGATTACAGGCACGTGCCACCATGCCCAGCTAATTTTTTGTATTTAGTAGAGACGGGGTTTCACCATGTTGACCAGGATGGTCTCGATCTCTTGACCTTGTGATCCACCCGCCTCGGCCTCCCAAAGTGCTGGGATTATAGGCGTGAGCCACGGTGCCCGGCTTTTTTTTTTTTTTTTTTTTTTTTTTAAATCCTGGAGGCCTGTTTGCTGTAAAAAACAAAATATTAATAATTAGTAGTGTGGTATGTTAGCCCATTTGGGCTACTACAACAAAATACCATAAACTGAATAGTTTATCAACAACGAATTTATTTCTCATAGTTCTGGAGTCTGGGAAGTCCCGTGTCAAAGCACTAGCAGATACAGTGTCTGGTGAGGGCCCGCTTTTTCATAGATGGCGCCTTCCTCCTGTGTCCTCACTTGGTGGAAGAGGCAAGGCAGCTCTTTGGGGCCCCTTTTATAAGGGCACTGCTTCTACTCATGAGGTCTTTACTCTCATGATCCAATCATCCCCCAAAGGACCCCAACTCATAATACTATTAACTTGGGAATTAGGATTTCAACATATGAATGTTGCAGGGACACTAACATTCAGACCATAGCATGTGGTTTCACTGTCCTCCCAGAAAACCTTTGTAGAAATGGCTGAATAGTAAAGGAAACCACACACAAAAGGAGTACTTTTTGTATTTCTGCTTTCAGTTCCACTTACTGTGTTACATATTCTTTCCTCTGCAATTCCCCTTCCTCCATACTCCTTTTGTATTTTTAAACAGGTAGGGCTTCTTTGTATTGGAGAGAAGAGCCAGAAAGTCAGGTATAAAGAGCAGGTAGGAAGCCAAGGATAAGGCTGGAAAAGAGGTGGCTCTAAGCAAGAGCATGGGATTAGATCTTTGGAGGTGGTTCACTAGAGTAGGTAGGAAGCTATGCTTTCAATACACATTTCATCTAACCATCTGTGCCTAGCTCTAGTCAGTGGACTGTGACAGACACTTAATGATTCAGAACTCCTGGACAATAAGAGAGTTCAGTATGTTTAAACTACTTGGTTTAGCTGTGGGCAGCAATTGTTCTTTTTATATTTTTATCAGAACTGCTGACATGCTTTTTTTTTCTTCCCTGGTCTGTGGTTCCTTCAGCAGGTTATTGAAGCAGATTCTTTCTGCTCAGTGAAGATACCTTGAAGTGGGTTTGCCTGGGTAATATGTCTGGAATTTGTTGTGAACCTGGGCATCTAGGGACTCATTTCTTCAAATGGCCCTTCATTCCCTTCATTATGAGACACTCTGAGAACAAAGCGGTTCTGAGTATAGCCCTCTCAAGAAGTGAGAACATCCTGAAACATATCTTTTCTCTCTTAGGCAACAGTTACAACACTCCACAAATCAGCTCGCCAAGGAAACAAATGAATTGCTGAAAGAATTAGGGTCTTTGCCCCTTCCCTTATCTACTTCTGAACAGGTTGGTATTTTCTGTTTTGTTTTGTTTTGTTTATTAATAGGAAAGAACTTTGTGGTAATAGAAAAGCAGTATACAAAAAAAAGTAAGTTGGCCTTTGTTTCTAGACAGACTTTCTCTGCACCTCAGTTTCTTCTCCATTAAGTGGGGGATATGTGACTGCAATAGAAAGAACGTACACACCAGGAATGGCAAATTGCCTGCATTTAGTAGGTAATCAATATGTGGTGGCTGCTGCTATTATTAATAACATTATTAATATATTAATAAAATGGGTTTAACTGAAGAGGAATCTCAACATTTGTATTTCTTTGGGGTTTGGCTAGCAGTTTTATGTTTGTAAGCTTACTCCTTTCTCCTGGTTGTTTTTTTTTAATTACTATTATTTTTATCGTTGTTATTTTAGATATGGGGTCTTCCTCTGTCACCCAGGCTAAAGTGCAGTGGTGCAGTCGTAGCACACTGTAGCCTCACACTTCTGTGCTCAAGCAATCCTCTCCCCTCAGCCTCCTGAGTAGCCATGACTGTAGGCATATACCACCACATCCAGTTAATGTTAACAGGTTTTTTTTGTGTAAACAGGGTCTTGCTTTGTTTCTCAGGCTGGTATCGAACTCCTGGCTTCAAGCAATCGTCCGTCCCTCCTCCGCCTTCCAAAGTGATGGAATTATAGGCGTGAGCCACAGTGCCCAGCCTTCCTAGTTTGTTTTGTATCCATTATCTGTAAATTTTAATGAAACATCTTTCTTTCATGTTTTGTGGCTACCTTCATGTTCTATCATGAGTTATTCACAGATCTCAGGCAGGTTAAAGAACTGCTCAGGGAAAAAGGGTTCTCTTTTCAAGTCATTTTATCCAGTGGCCATTTAAATGCTTTAGAAACACAGAGTTTTTACTGAGATTCATTGTTCCCTTAAAATGCCACATTCCATCCCTCCTTCATTGTGGCTTGACTCTTGTACCTGTCATTCATGATTTACCTCAGGTCTCCAGTAAAAAAAATTTTTTCTATCTACCTTCCTATTATGATTCTGTTTTGCTTTTAGCTTCTATACTATTTGTGGGGGCACTTAACCATTTTTTGTTGTTTTTTGAGATGGAATTTCACTCTTGTTGCTCAGGCTGGAGTGCAATGGTGCAATCTCGGCTCACTGCAACCTCCGCCTCCCAGGTTCAAGCAATTCTCCTGCCTCAGCCTCCCGAGTATCTAGGATTACAGGCATGCACCACTACAGTCCAACTAATTTTGTATTTTTAATAGAGACGGGGTTTCTCCATGTTCGTCAGGCTGGTCTCAAACTGCCGACCTCAGGTGATCCACCTGCCTTCGCCTCCCAAAGTCCTGGGATTATAGGCATGAGCCACCGTGTCTGGCCAGAGGCACTTAACTTTTATTGCTTTTGTAATTTTATTTTATTTTTGAGATAGAGTATTACTCTATCACCCAGTCTGAGTGCAGCGGGAATCGTAGCTAACTGCAACCTTGAACTCCTGGGCTCAAGGGATCCTGCCACCTCAATCTCCTGAGTAGCTGGGACTACAAGTGCTCACCACCACACCCAACTAAATTTTTAAATTTTTTGTAGAGATGGGGGTCTTGCTATGTTGTCCAGGCTAGTCTCAAACTCCTGGGCTCAAGTAATCTTCCTGCCTTGGCCTTCCAAAATGCTGGGATTATAGACATGATCCACTGTGCCTGGCCTTTATTGCTTTATTTTTTATTTTTTATTTTTTGAGACAAAGTCTCACTCTGTCACTCAGGCTGGAGTGCAGTGGCATGATTTTGGCTCACTGCAACCTCTGCTTCCTGGGTTCAAGCAATTCTCCTGCCTCAACCTCCTGAGTAGCTGGGATTATAGACGTGTATCACCACACCCAGCTAAGTATTATATTTTTAGTAGAGATGTGATTTCACCATGTTCGTCAGGCTGATCTCAAACTCCTGACCTTGTGATCTGCCCACCTTGGCCTCCCAAAGTGCTAAGATTACAGATGTGAGTCACCGCGGCCAGCCACATAATGCTTTTTATTATTGAACTTTTTAAATGATAATGTTCTATATCTGATGGCTCTGAAGACAAAACCTTTCAACTTCCCTGTCCTGAGTTGTTTTTCAAGGTATGGGTTGTGGCTAGTGGAACATGAAATCATTTTAGTGTATGGTAATCATAATTTTTTTTTTTTTTGAGACGGAGTTTCGCTCTTGTTACCCAGGCTGGAGTGCAATGGTGCGATCTCGGCTCACCTCAACCTCCGCCTCCCGGGTTCAGGCAATTCTCCTGCCTCAGCCTCCTGAGTAGCTAGGATTACAGGCACGTGCCACCATGCCCAGCTAATTTTTTGTATTTTTAGTAGAGACGGGGTTTCACCATGTTGACCAGGATGGTCTCGATCTCTTGACCTTGTGATCCACCTGCCTCAGCCTCCCAAAGTGCTGGGATTACAGGCGTGAGCCACCGTGCCCGGCCTGTAATCATAATTTTAAAAAACTTTAAAATAGAGTAGAAGTATCAGAATCTGTACTATGTAATAATGGTAAATATTGTTACATGAAACTATTGTTTCATACATACATGTGTATATGTATGGATGGATCATGATGTCAAATTATTTTTTTTTGAGATGGAGTTTCATTCTGTCACCAGGCTAGAGTGCAGTGGCATGATCTTGGCTCACTGCAACCTCCAACTCCCTGATTCAAATGATTCTCCTGCCTCAGCCTCCCAAGTAGCTGGGACTACAGGCGTGCGCTACCATGCCCAGCTAATTTTTGTATTTTTTTAGTAGAGACAGAGTTTCACCATGTTGGCCAGGATGGTCTTGATCTGTTGACCTTGTGATCCGCCCATCTCGGCCTCCCACAGTGTTGGGATTACAGGCATGAGCCACCGTGCCCAGCTTTTTTTTTTTTTTTTTTTTTTTTTTTTTGAGACGGAGTCTTGCTCTGTCACCAGGCTGCAGTGCAGTAGCATGGTATTGGCTCACTGCAACCTCCAGCTCCCAGGTTCAAGCCTTACTCCTGCCTCAGCCTCCCAACTAGCTGGAATTGCAGGCACCCACCACCATGCCTGGCTAATTTTTATATTTTTAGTAGAGACAGGGTTTTGCAATTTCGACCAGGCTACTTTCGAACCCCAGACCTCAGGTAATCTCCCCAGCTAGGCTTCCCAAAGTGCTGAGATTATAGACGTGAACCCAGTGCCCAGCCCATGATGTCAAATTCTTATTGTAAATCTCTGTCAAAAAAAAAAAATTCAAAAGCGCTAGTTTAACCTGATAAACTGTTCCATGTAGCATATCTGGAATTTTGGCCCCCACTTGCAGAAAAGAGAGAGGACAAAATGCTTTGTCATCCTGCTATAAAGTAGTTACCCTTTGGTTGTCTATATATGGACTGTTTGTAACAGTTGTGGGCCATTTCCCCCTTGTCATCTAATACTCCAGATTGCTGCCAAATTACCTGTTTCTTCCTCCCAACCATGCACTCAGGGAATATACGCTTGTAGATAGTTTTCATAGTAATAAAAAAGGAGTCAAAGGGTCTGATGCAGAATAGTGAAAGTATTTAAGAGTTAAATAGTAGCCTAAGCAAAATATAAATAGAAAATCAAAAGTACTACCAAAACAAAATTCATCAAATGTCTTTCAAAACCAAATAGAAGTTATTTTTGGATTATGCATGTTGTCGTTCCTTTCCATTATCTTGGATCATTAAGAACACGACATAGGTGGGTGTGGTGGCTCATGCCTGTAATCCAAGCACTTTGGAGGCCAAGGAGGGCGGATCACCTGAGGTGGGGAGTTCAAGACCAGCCTGACCAACATGGTGAAACCCCATCTTTATTTAATAAATAAATAAATAAGAACACGAAATAGATCTACAGACATATTATCTCTGTTGAAATTGAATTCCTTAATTCCCCTCCTCGTTATGCTCAGTATCCTTTTGTCTTTCTGCTCTTTTCTCATCTAATTAATCTTATCCCCATTACCCATCTTTTCACTGCTGTCTTATACATCAAACCATACTCCTACTTTAAGTTTTTTTTCTGTACTTATATACTATCATCATTGATCTAGTTACGCAGTCCAGTGGCTTTTTTTTTTTTTTTTTTTTGAGACAGAGTTTCGCTCTTGTTACCCAGGCTGGAGTGCAGTGGTGTGATCTCGGCTCACCGCAACCTCCGCCTCCTGGGTTCAGGCAATTCTCCTGCCTCAGCCTCCTGAGTAGCTGGGATTACAGGCATGCGCCACCATGTCCAGCTCATTTTTTGTATTTTTAGTAGAGACGGGGTTTCACCATGTTGACCAGGATGGTCTCGATCTCTTGACCTCGTGATCCACCCGCCTCGGCCTCCCGAAGTGCTGGGATTACAGGCTTGAGCCACCGCGCCCGGCCCTCCAGTGGCTTTTGAGGGTTTTTTGTTTCTTTGTTTGAGACAGGGTCTTACTCAGTTGTCCAGGCTGAGGTGCAGTGGAGTGGTGCGATCATGGCTCACTGTATCACTGTAGCCTTAACGTCCCAGGCTCAATTGATCCTCCCACGTTAGCTTCCCAAGTAGCTGGGACCACAGGCATGTGCCACTACACCCAGCTACTTTTAAACTTTTTATAGAGGCAGAGTCTTGCTGTGTTTCTCAGGCTGCTCAAACTCCTGGGCTCAAGCAATCTTCCCTCCTCGGCCTCCCAAAGTGCTGGAATTACAGGCATGAATTGTCACACCTGGCCCTTTGTAAAAAGTTTTTATTCACTTTTTTTTTTTTTTTTTGTAGTCACTGTTTCACTCTGTCACTGAGGCTGGAGTACACTGGTGCAATCTCGGCTTACTGCAACCTTTGCATACCGGGTTCAAGTATTTCTCCTGCCTCAGACTCCCAAGGAGCAGGGACAACAGGCACACATCACCACATGAATTTTTGTATTATTAATGGAGACAGGGTTTCACCATGCTGGCCAGCTTGGTCGTGAACTTCTGAACTCAAGTGATCCGCCTGCCTTGGCCTCCCAAAGTTCTGGGATTACAGGCGTGAGCCACCACACTGGGCCTATTCACTTTTTTTTTCTGTTTCCTTTGATCCTCTTGGCTATCCTGTCTGCACTGAAACTTTTCTCTTGCCATGATTCTCTTTCATTCTGTCCCCCAACTCTGGAGATTCCCAGGTTGAGTCTCAGCCTCCTTCCTAGACTCCATATCCTCTTAAGAGCGGGCATGCCCCAAGGTTGTTACATTGATTCTCAAATTCTTTCACTGTATGCTTTCTCTCTCAGGAGTCACCTGCTTTTATGACCTCCCTTTCACCTTTATGATCATGACCTCCAGATCTTTTTCCAACATAACCCCGACACCTCTAAGTACTTGGCCCATATCTTCAATTCATGTTCTGACATCTCCTCCTGAAATAAACTACTTTCACATAAAACTTGGTCTTATACTGAGTTTTTCATGTTTTACCCAAACCCCTTAACTAAGTTTATTGGCAATATTTACCGTTACAGAAAAGTTTGTGCCTTTTTACCTAATATTCTCATTCATGCAAATTAGTCCTAAGGGGGAAAAATAATTCTGAAGGTAAACACACACATGCACACACACACACACTCTCTCTCTCTCTCTCCATATGTGTGCGTGTATGTGTGTGTGTATATACACACGTGTATATATATATACGTGTATATATATATATATACGTGTATATATATATACACGTGTGTATATACACACACACATACACGCACACATACACACACACACACACACACACACACACACACACACTCTGGAGCCAAATTTCTTGAATTTTAATCCATCTTTGTCACTTACTGTGTGATCCTGGGCAAATTACATTACCTCTGTGGTACTTTGGTTCTCTGACATGTAAAGTTGGGACAGTAATAATGCCTAATTTATAGGTCATTGTATAGGTAAATGAACTATTATATAAGGCACTTACAGTGGAACTGGTACAATGTAAGCACTATATAAATATTAGCTTTTACATTGGGCTCACTTTAACTTTATAATATTTAATAACTGGGAAAAATCTAGAAGGAATATTTACATAAGATTTAGATGAACTTGATGGAATATATGTGACAGTTAAAGATCATGGCTGGGCGCAGTGGTGCACACCTGTAATCCCAGCACTTTGGGAGGCTAGGGTGGGTGGATTGCTTGAGTATAGGAGTTCGAGACCCAGCCTGGGGCAACATCTCTACAAAAATTAGTCAGGCTTGGTGGCACGCATCTGTAGTGCCAGCTACTCAGGAAGCTGAGGTGAGAGGATTGCTGCAGTAAGCCGAGATCGCACCACTGCACCCCAGCTTGGGTGACAGAGCAAGACCCTATCTCAAAAAAGAAGAGAGAGAGAGCATAATTGTGAAGAGCTTGGTAACATAGAAAATGTTTGTGATGTACTTTAAAAAATGATAATATTTTTGCATGGTGAGGTTAGGGAATGATGTCCTCCCCCTTATTGTTATAATTTTGTTTATGCACAGATAAAAATCTCAGAAGAAAAAAGGTTCCCATCTAAGTTTGCTTTCTAATATAACCATCATTCTTCCAGGTTTGAAATTTCAGTCCTTCTTGACTTTATCTTTCTTTCCCTACCACCAGTCAAAATGTTTCTTAAATTTATTTCTTTGTGATCTTATTACTGATACTGTGTCCTCCTAACTTTAAATTTAGACTGTTGAATTGATAATCTGTTTGACTTGTTTCTTTTTTCTATTCCACTTTTTTTCTTTTTTTAAAAATTAATTATCCAAGACTGACACCAATACAAGTATCTATTCCACTTTTTATACCATCACAGACTAATTTTTCTAAATTACTATTTTGTACCCATCACATTTCCTGCTCAAAGATCTTCATTACTCTTTTTTCTTTATAAGTTGAACCCCAGGCTGGGCACGGTGGCTCATGCCTATAATCCCAGCACTTTGGGAGGCCAAGGCGGGTGGATCACGAGGTCAAGAGATCGAGACCATCCTGGTCAACATGGTGAAACCCTGTCTCTGCTAAAAATACAAAAATTAGCTGGGCGTGGTGGCGCACACTTGTAGTCCCAGCTACTTGGGAGGCTGAGGCAGGAGAATTGCCTGAACTGAGGAGGCGGAGGTTGCGGTGAGCCTAGATCGTGCTATTGCACTCCAGCCTGGGTAAAAAAAGCGAAACCCTGTCTCAAAAAAAAAAAAAAAAAAAAAGAGGTTGAACCCCAGACTCATTACCTTGGCATTTTGTTTTGTTTTGTTTTCTAAGACCAAGCTTTACTCTTGTTGCCCAGCCTGGAGTACAGTGGCACAATCTTGGTTCATAGCAACCTCTACTTCCTGGTTCAAGCGTTTCTCCTGCCTCAGCCTCCCAAGTAGCTGGAATTACATGCCACCATGTTTGGCTAAGTTTTTTGTATTTTTAGTAGAGATAGGGTTTCACCATGTTGGCCAGGATGTTCTTGAACTCCTGACCTCAAGTGATCCACCCACCTCGGCCTCCCAAAGTGCTGGGATGACAGGTGTGAGCTATTGCGCTCAGCCTAGCTTGACATTTAAAACCTGCTATGGTTGGCCCCTTTCTTACCTTTCCAACTTTGTTTTTTAGCTACTCTGATTACTAAACCTGTAGTTCCAGCCAAACTATATGCCTAGAGATCCTCTTCAAATTCTGCCACCATGCCTTTGCTCACACTGTTCTCTTGCTTGGATTTGCCTTACCCCTTCTTTCTGCTTATTCATGCCTTCCTCTTACTTCACTGTCCACCTTTCTTGACAGCTTGAGTTCTTTTTTTTTGACACGGAGTTTCGCTCTTGTTACCCAGGCTGGAGTGCAATGGCACGATCTCGGCTCACCGCAACCTCCGCCTCCTTGGTTCGGGCAATTCTCCTGCCTCAGCCTCCTGAGTAGCTGGGATTACAGGCACGTGCCACCGTGCCCAGCTAATTTTTTGTATTTTTTTTTTTAGTAGAGACGGGGTTTCACCATGTTGACCAGGATGGTCTCGATCTCTTGACCTTGTGATCCACCCGCCTCGGCCTTCCAAAGTGCTGGGATTATAGGCGTGAGCCACTACGCCTGGCCAACAGCTTGAGTTCTTATTGATTATTCCTGTCTCTGAACTCCTATAGTCCTAATTGGATATAGCAGTTATTTATTATGACTTTACTTGTCTGTCTATATCCTTTATTTACAAATAGATGGTAAGCAATTTGAGGTCAGGGGTGAGTTTTTACTTCTGTGTTCTTTGAACAGGACAAATGCTGTCAGTATGTGGTGTGTGTGTGTGTGTGTGTGTGTGTGTTGTGTTTTGTTTTGTTTTGTTTTGTTTTTTGAGACAGGGTCTCAGTCTTCTGAGGCTGTAGTACCTGGAAGGATCTCAGCCCACTGCAGCCTCAACCTTCCAGGCTCAAATGATCCTCCTGCCCCAGCCTCCTGAGTAGCGGATATACATCACCACACATGGCTGATTTTTGTGTTTTTTTGTAGAGATGGAATTTTGCCATGTTGCTCAGGCTGGTTTCAAACTCCTGGGCTCAAGTGATCCTCCTGTCTCAGCCTCCCAAAGTGCTAGGACTACAGGCATAAGCCACTGTGCCCAACTTCAGCCTGTGTTTTTTTAAGACATAGGTAACAAACTTAGTAGAGGTATGTCTTTAGATAAACAGAGTACTTATCAAGGTCTCAAAGATTTTAAACCTCACTAAAAATAGCCTGTGAAATGATTCTACAGTTTTCAGGAAAGCTGTGAACTTAATATAGATGAATAGGGTTTTAACGTGTTAGCCAAAACCAATCTCTGTTTGGGTTAAATTGGAGTCCAAAGGTATTTATTCTCTTTTAGATTCTCCAGGGCACCAAAATTTTGAATTGCAGTTCTTTGGAGATTACTTTAGAAGTTAAATGCAAAGTGTGTGCAATGGCTTATGCCTGTAATCCCAGCCCTTTGGGAGGCCCAGGCAGTAGATCACCTGAGGTCCAGTGTTTGAGAATAGCCTGGCTAACATGGCAAAACCCCATCTCTACTAAAGATTAGCCAGGCCTGGTGGTGGGCACCTGTAATCCCAGCTACTTGGGAGGCTGAGGCATGAGAATTGCTTGAACCTGGATGGCAGAGGTGGGCAGTGAGCTGAGATCATGACACTGAACTCCAGCCTGGGCAACAGAGCAAGACTCCGTCTCAATAAAAAGAAGAAGAAGAAAAAAGGTTAAATGCATCCCAGTTCCCAGGTTTGTCAGAATGAAAGAAGAAAAATTTTGACTTGGTCTATGGTATTAACCAGGGATTTGAGCTAGCAAAGAGCAAATGTATCAATTTAAGGAAGAGACTATTTCATAATCATTTTTCTAGTTGGAAATCTTTAAGGGTGTAATTTTCCTTTTAAGGGAAATTAAAACCAAATGATTCTGGGTTAATATGAAATCTCAAGTTGTTGTTTAATTTCCTTAGCGCCAGCAGAGACTTCAGAAGGAACGCCTCATGAATGACTTCTCTGCAGCCTTAAACAATTTCCAAGCTGTGCAGAGAAGGGTATCCGAAAAGGAAAAGGAAAGTATTGCCAGAGCAAGAGCTGGATCTCGTCTTTCTGTAAGTTGATTCCCAAAGAAAACCTTTGCAATTTCAGAATGTTCTTTCCCAAGTTTGTAGGGTTTTTTTTTTCTTTTTCTGTTTGACCAATAAACATATAAGTTAGCTGCTATGAAAATGGCAGGTTGGTATAACCTACCTAAAAAATATGTATGCATATGATCAAAGCCTAGAAAGGAATCTGAATGAGGGTTAAAAGATACAAGAGGAAGAACTGTGTGTAATTTTCTTTTTCATTTTGATAATATTGGTCTTAACACTAAAAACTTAAAAATAAAAAATAATGAATCTCTTCCCTGGAATATAACAGGCTAGTTTATTTGGACTAGCCCTCTGTTTTTGAAAAGGATTATCAAATAGTGGATTTTAAAAATCTAACTTCTCAAAAGTATCAACGATCTATGAAAATATTAAGTTAAAACCTGAGAGGTAAGCAGAACACTGAAACTGCTTTGGCGTTGAGTATGTTTACTGAAGGCAAACTTGAACTTCAGTTTTGATATCCTCATGGCATGAGGAGGATAAAAGTCAAAGCCAAAGGTCCATGCAAGGTAGAGAATATAAAAGAAAGTACAACTCAGATTAAACTGGGCCCTAAAATACTATATCCTTAGAATATCAAGTCAAAAGTAAGCTCTCCTTTCCCCCAGCAGATTGCACAAAGATTGCATTGGCATTGAACTGAGCAGATGGAGGAGGGCAGGAGGAAGAAGAAATCCAGACAGTAGTTTGTACCACAAAGTAACCTTCTTCAGACAGATTTTCTGCTCAAATTCGTCCTATCTGAATGGTTTAGTGATCCTGGACTGGTAAAGCCACGTATATCCTGGGTAGTGGCAAACACAAATTCCCTCTGTAGAAAGACACCTTTATCCTAACGCTGAAATAATGCTCCCAAACAACTTTTTCTGGGGCAGTAAGTACCATTCACTAATAATAACCATGTTTACAAAGAAACAAATTACTCTGAACAAGAATTATTATGTGGAAACAATAGTGAAGTGAAACATACCTACAAAGACTTTGTACATTCGAATTATAAGACAACTATATTCATTGTGTTTAAAGACATAAAAGGCTGAAAACCTCTGCAGAAAACTACAGAAAGCTTTGAAAAGGTGTCAAAAATTTCTAAAATGAAAAGATATAATATGGAAACTTAAAAATTTAGTGGACGGGTGGTTTAACTAGAAAATTGGTTAGAAGATATTATCCAGCTTGTAGCATGGGGGTAAGAGGTTAAATATGGAAGAAAGATTCTGAGAATTGGAGAATGGAGTAAAAAGATCAAATGTGATTTTAACTGGAGTTACAGAATGAGAATAGTACAAACACAGAACAAAGGTGATATTTGAAGAAATAATGACTGATAATCTCTAGAACTTATGAAAAACACTAGCCTACAGTTTCAAGAAACCTAACAGATCCCAGGCAGGATAAATGAAATCTCTAATCTAGATACATCAAAGACAAATTTCAGAACAGAGACAAAGAGAAAAGTCATAAAGATAGCTGGAAAAACAATAGAATACCTTCAAAGATAAAATAGTTAGATTGGCAGTTGACTTCTCAACAACAGTGGAAGCCAGAAGTAGAGTGCTATCTTGAATGTTAATGAAGGACAATAATTGTCTACCTAGGATTCTAAACCCAGTGAAAATATATGTCAAGAATGAGGGCTAAAGACATTTTCAATCAAAAGTGAGTTTTCTATCAGCACACCTTACTGAAGGAAATTCTAAAGAATGTATTTCTGAAAAGCAGAAAGAAATGAAGAACAAAAAAGGTGGTATATGTGAAAAGACAAGTCACAGACAGGGAGAAGACATTGCTATATTTGTTTAATAGCAAAGAACTAGCATTTAGAATACATAAAGAATTCTCATGAATCAATATAAAAAGATACAATAGAACAAAAGTCGTCAAACTTTTTGATCTCAGGACCCCATTACACTCTTAAAAATTAAGTTCGGCCGGGCGCGGTGGCTCAAGCTTGTAATCCCAGCACTTTGGGAGGCCGAGGCGGGTGGATCACGAGGTCGAGAGATCGAGACCATCCTGGTCAACATGGTGAAACCCCGTCTCTACTAAAAATACAAAAAATTAGCTGGGCATGGTGGCACGTGCCTGTAATCCCAGCTACTCAGGAGGCTGAGGCAGGAGAATTGCCTGAACCCAGGAGGCGGAGGTTGCGGTGAGCCGAGATCGCGCCATTGCACTCCAGCCTGGGTAAAAAGAGCGAAAACTCCGTCTCAAAAAAAAAAAAAAAAAAAAAAATTAAGTTCTCGGCCAGGCGCGGTGGCTCAAGCCTGTAGGGAGGCCAAGGCAGGTAGCTCACGCGGTCAAGAGGTCGAGACCATCCTGGTCAACATGGTGAAACCCCGTCTCTACTAAAAATACAAAAAATTAGCTGGGCGTGGTGGTGCGTGCCTGTAATCCCAGCTACTCAGGAGGCTGAGGCAGGAGAATTGCCTGAACCCAGGAGGCAGAGGTTGTGGTGAGCCGAGATCGCGCCATTGCACTCCAGCCTGGGCAACAAGAGCGAAACTCCGTCTCAAAAAAAAAAAAAAAAAAAAAAAAAAAAAAAAATTATTAAGTTCTCTTCTTGAATCTTAAAAAAAAAAATTACTAAGGACCCTGTATTAGTCCGTTCTCACATTGCTATAATGAACTGCCCAAGGCCGGGCGTGGTGGCTCACCTCTGTAATCCCAGTGCTTTGGGAGGCCAAGGCAGGCGATCATGAGGTCAGGAGTTCAAGACCAGCCTGGTCAACATGGCGAAAACCCGTCTCTACTGAAAATACAAAAAATTAGCCAGGCCTGGTGGCAGGCACCCATAATCTCAGCTACTTGGGAGGCTGAGGCAGGAGAATTGATTGAACCCAGGAGGTGGAGGTTGCAATGAGCTGAGACCACACCACTGCATTCCAACCTGGGCGACAGAGTGAGACTCTGTCTCAAAAAAAAAGAAAGAAAGAAAAAGAAAAAACTGCCCAAGACTGACTGGGTAATTTATATAGGAAAGAGGTTTCATTGACTCACAGTTACACGTGGCTGGGGAGGTGTCAAGAAACTTACAGTCATGTTGAAAGGCACCTCTTCAGAGGGCAGCAGGAGAGGGAATTAGTGCCCAGCGAAGGGGGAAGCCCCTTATAAAAACCATCAGATGTTGTGAGAACTCAGACATTATCACGAGAACAGTGTGGGGAAAACTGTCCCTGTGATTCAGTTTTCTCCATCTGGTCTCGCTGTTGACACGTAGGGATTATTACATTTCAAAGTGAGTTTTGGGTGGGGACACAGAGTCGAACCATATCAGACCCCAAAGAAGTTTTGTTTATATGAGTTATATCTATTAATGTATACTGTATTAGAAATTAAAACTGAGAAAAATTTTAGATGTTTATTCATTTATAAATAATATACTCATTAAATATATGAATATAAATTAGGTTTTTTAATGCACATAGGGAAAGAAGGAATTAAACCAGATTTTTTTTTTTTTTTTTTTTTTTTTTTGAGACGGAGTTTCGCTCTTGTTACCCAGGCTGGAGTGCAATGGCGCGATCTTGGCTCACCGCAACCTCCGCCTCCTGGGCTCAGGCAATTCTCCTGCCTCAGCCTCCTGAGTAGCTGGGATTACAGGCACGTGCCACCATACCCAGCTGATTTTTTTTGTATTTTTAGTAGAGACGGGGTTTCACCATGTTGACCAGAATGGTCTCGATCTCTCGACCTCGTGATCCACCCGCCTCGGCCTCCCAAAGTGCTGGGATTACAGGCTTGAGCCACCGCGCCCGGCCAAACCAGATTTTTAATTTTAAAAAATTGTGTTTCCAAGAAAAAAATTAGTGGGCAGAGTAGTAGTATTTTCATTTTTGCAAATACGTAAGTGATATTTTTGCATATACAGACTTTTTTTTGCAAATACAGACATTTTTTTAAGTGTCTGGCTTACCAGAAGGCAGCTAGATTTTCATAGCTCCTCTTGTTTTTTAACCTTCACACTAAAGATGTGAATGATTTATATACCACCATTACAATAGTATTAGAATATTCTGAATTTGACTATGTACTTAACTTTTACGGGTGAATTTTATACTTTCTTATGTTTTCATTTTACTAATTAGCATGCTTTCATTCAGCTTGAAGCACTCCCTTTAGCACTTCATGTGAGGCAGGTCTGGTGGTGATGAACTCCGCTTTTATTGTCTGGAATTGTATCTGCTGCTACATTCAGTCTGTTGTGATAGGTTGTTCTGGTTGAAATATCTGAAGAAAATCCAAGCTGGCAGAAATATACAATTGGAAAAGGAATATTTTTATAACCTTTTCAGATCGTTGTTGATACTCTTCTTTGATACTACATCAAAACTTGACAAAAGTTACATTGTAGAATCAAAAACAATAATTACTTCATACTCTGTTATATTAACATCTGTTGGTCTGTGTTAGATTGGATCTTTTATCCATGCATGATTTTTGTAGCATCATGTATTTATCATTTGGATAGTATTGGTTCCCTGAGTTATGCAGGTCTCCCAAAAGTCGATATATTTTATTTTACAATATAAAAAAAATATTTCCATCAGTTTCACCAGAAAAGTCTTTAACTATTAGGAAACTCTTAGAGTGGTAAATACAAGTCTTCCAAAATTCTTTTTTTTTTTAAAGCTACATTTTTATCATTGGCAACAAACACAGTCTGTTGTTTTCCTTGAAGTGACAGGCTCATACTTCCTTTGAACAAGTTGTCTGCCAAATACCCATCTGAAAAGTTTATATGTATACATTTATAAAAGTTTTAAAGCTTTTAAATGCATTTTTAGTAAGTTCTTATAAAACTATATTGAATAAGTAAAAATGGTATTCCCTAAAAAAATAGTGGCTAGTTCAGCCTACAGTTCCATTATACAAGTGCTTTTCCTGGAGACAAACATTGTATTTCTTTCTTTCTTTCTTTCTTTCTTTTTTTTTTTTTTTTTTTGAGATGGAGTCTTGGTCTGTCA